AGTCTCTATCAGGAGCCAGCAACTTCAAGGATCCACAGCAAACTGGCTGTGTTTCAGACAAAAGAGTTTCCTGTTCAATGCCCAGATTCTGCTCAGCTGCAGTAAACCAGTAGTCATCTAAGGAAATTATCTAGTTCTTATACCACACATTTAACAGTCATCCTCAAAGTCCTTTGAAAAGGAGGTGCTACTGCCTTCCACAGTTTCTTTATCTCTGCAACAGTAAGAAAGGAGAGCTGCCCACTGCCACCCAGCCGGTAAAAGCCAAAGCCAGGACACCGCAGTCCCAGCACAGCCCTCTTCCCACCACCCTACTCGTTCCAACTCTGCATAGAGGCCCTGCTGCAGATAGATATCACAGTCCACCAAAACACTGGCCTAAAGCTCAGTAGATGGGGACCAGAGTTTAGTCCCAAGGCCTTTTTTTAAACTCTTCTGTAAACACAAGTTCTGCCTACTCCACGCCCATTTCTGCTCTTGTCGTGCAACTTGCTGCTAAAACTGAAGGCTCTTGGGCAGAGAGAAATAACTTCCTACACTGCATTTATGCACAAGAATTTAGATCAGGAAACCTGATCAAATCTAAAACCCGATTTTACTTTAAGAAGAAGAATGCCTCACAGAGGAACTATCCAGAACAGACTCTGCGATTTGAAGCCCCTGTCTCAATGTGATCGCTTTTCAAGAGTATATGAGACCTTACAGTAAACATAGCTGCTTTTTCCAACAGTTCTTCCTAGAACCTAAAAGTGTTTCCTATACCAAGGCTTGCTACTTCCCTAGACCAACCTGTTTTCCTTCCATTCTCGACAGCATGGAGAGAAACGTTACTGTATTGCCAGGGCTGGACCAGTACTGCCTTGAGACCCAGGTATGTTCACACAAGAGAGAACACTCAGCAGAAGCACAAAAGGTGCAACAAAGAGCAGGTCAGCAAGAAGCTGAGGAGCAGAGAAATAAATTCTTCTTCTCTCTCCAGCAACTGTTTTTGGAACAGGCTGTACAGAGAGGTTGTGTAGTGTCCACCTTGGAGACACTGAGAACTCAACTGGACAGAGCAACAAGCAGCCTGTTTTGAGCAGGTCCCTTCCAGCCTCAGTTGCTGTGTGGTTCTGTGATCCATGCACAGACCTCTCTGCCCAGGCAGAGGTCCCTGACTACACCAGCTAGAAACATCCACTCTGACTGCAAGCAAATTCTTCCTTCTGCTAATGCTGTTGATGAAAGCTTGTCTTTCCTGACCTTGAAGCTGTGTTATCTACTTTGGCTGTGAGAAGGCGATAATAGCTCCTGACAATGGCAAGAGTCAGCTCTGAGCCGGTGGAACAGGAAATCCCATTTCTCAAGCCCTTCAAAGCCTGTCTGGCACAGTTTCTCTCAGCAGCACTCAGTGAGATTACTGCACTAAAAATAACACACACAATAAGTTGTGCATTTAGAAGAAGAAAGGACTTGCCCTCAGTGTGGGTTTCCCTTCTACTTGTGGCCTCAAGTATCCCCAGACAGTTGAACTACTAGGGTTTTGTTCTCCAAATTAAGCAGGAGCTGCAGCTGTTGAAGTGGTTTTAAATAAAATAAGAAGATTAAAGGGTACAACAAAGAAATAAGATACTTTCCAGTTTTTAAACAAGTGTCTCTCTTCCCTCCCTGTTGTTTTCTATAATAAGAAACTCAGAGCTAAATCTCTTCCTTACCAAAACACTCTTGCCCTTCTATCATGAGCTCACATACAATTGGTTGTATACAGGTGAAATAAAGAAAAGGTGGGGGACCAGTCCTGCAGACTTCCATACAGAACATAATGCCTTGTGGGCATTCTGCTGCAGTATTTAGGACAACATCCAAGCCTGTTAGGTTAAATGCACTGTCTGAATCAGCAGGAAAGAAGGCATACCTTGTAACAGTAGGCACAGGATTAGCACTACCTAGAAGCCTTACACAGTTTTGCTGTCTTTACAAACACTGTCTTTGCCTACACCTAGGGAGACCTATTAAAGCTCAGTCATTTGTATCAGATCACTTTCACTAAAGCCGGCCTGACTACTGAGGAAATTTTCATGCATCGTTTGCAAGGCTTAGACAATTTGCATTAGCACTCTCCAACAAAACTAACTTCTTTCTCAGCTCCCAGACTGTATGCCTGCATGTGGCAATGAGACTTATCCTCATGACTCCGGACTCAGCTTTGCTGTTTATATGCTCATTTGGTGCATATAAACAATCTATTGCTTATATAGCACATTTCAAGTCCTGGCTCAATTAGTAACTGTTCACCTTAAGCACAAACTCATTTCTCATGTATGCACCTATCTATGCAAAGTTAACAGCCATTTGCACACACACAAACAGGAAATGCCAACTAGAATATACACACTTGCCTTGTCTTCGACTTACACCTGGAAGGTCATACGCTGCACCGTTTTACCCATAAGAAGTAAGACAGATGAATTTTACCTAGTAATTTTTTTCAGTACCAAGTCCAAGGAGCTGGGCTCTCTAAGTGAACCAGAGAGCTGCAAAGTTCAGAATCTTAGCAAAACGAAGGGCAGGTGTCACAGCTCACAGCATCTTAACAGCCATCACCTGGTGTTAGGTTTGGATGAAGACAACAGCCCCCACCTGGCAGCAGAGATAATCCAACCACCTCAGTCACAGAGGCACACCAAAACCCCCTGCTACATTTATCACCTGCCTTCAGATTTAAACTATATAATAAGAAGGATATTTTATGTACAACAGTTTAAATATAAACTCAATTCACTCAGAAGCACAGTCCCTCCTATGCACTACAGATGTAATACATCATCATGTAGCTAGAGTCTGTGTTGTAACATGGCCAAACAAGAAGGCAGAATAAATGTGGGCAGGCCCTAAGCATGAGGTCTTTCACATTGCAAAATCATTTTCTTCTTATAGCTTTTGAAGACCATAATTGGCAATACTGGGGATGCTAACTGTGGATACTACAGGAGACATGAAAAGATTATAGAAGTTTATGAACATTTCTGAAAACAGAACAGAGAGTGAAATAAAGAAGCAGCATACAGCTGCTGCCACACTGCCATTAAATCTCATTTCCCCTGTATTACACTTCAGCCCAGCACATTCTTTCGCTTTCAGAGATGCAAATGATACAGCTTGTTCCCACTTCTGGGTTTCCAGTGTTACAGAGACCAAATCCTGCAGCACTTGTGATTCTCCTCATCTTTCCATCTTTGTCAGCTCCTCCACTCCCCTTCAGTAGACCAGTGAATCCCCCAAAGACCTTACAAACACTGTAGCTTTTTCTGAGATAAGAGTGTATTTTGTATGAATAACATGCACAACATTCAAGTGATTGCACTCCTGTTCCCCTCTGCCTCTCCAGCACAAACACCTTTGGGACCTCCAGCACATCTGTGTCCCTCCTACATGGACAGGGGATGCCATCTGCGGTGCAAGACTTCATTCCCTACCACTGCAGCAGGTGCTAACACGAATATCAAGCCCGAATATCAAGTCCCAGAGACACTGCCTGCCAAAACCACAACCTCACAGGAACTGGTCTGCCACAGCTGAGTCTGGCACCCTGCTGAGTCTTTACTGCAGCAGGGATGTTCTTGTGAGGCACATCCTCTGCCATTCTTGCCTCAAAAGCTTCATAGCTGATGCACGTCTGTGGAAGGTGTCACAGGTCACAACCATCCTCGTGACACCCCTGAAAGGTGACAGCTACTGTGATGCACTCCAGCACCCCTGATGCACCTTCTCCTACCCATGCACACACCCTCCCTGCACACTGCTAATTACAAGACTGCCCAGTGGGAGAGGCCTGGGAAACAACTCCCTGGTGAGCAATTCCAGCTGCACCCGGTAGAGACGAGCTACAGCCTCTAGCGGTAGCCACAGCCATAGGGAGGAAGTGGGGTAAACTACTCCTCTTGCTGTCACAGGGGCTGCAAAGGGACACCACACCATGCCCTGAGGGGTGGCAGCTGCCCGGGGTCTGCCTCTCAGGGCAGGGACTTCCCAGCCCCACTCACAGCCCTCACCCTGCCTTGCAGGAGCATCTCCACAGCTGGGGCAGCACCACAGAACTTTCCAGAAGGCCTCCTCCTGCCCACCCTCCCTCCCTCCCTCGTGGGCAGCACCCTCCCCTCAGTCTCTCCACAGACAGGAGACTCAGCCTGGCTCAGCCAGAGCAGCTCTGCTGGGGACCACCAGAGTGGACACGTCCAGAGGTGGCCAGGATGCGGTGAGTGCAGGGCCAGGATGTCTGCAGGGCCAGTGCTGCAGACCTGCCATGAGCCTGGACCTGCCAAGCTCTCCCCAGCCGTGTGGGAAGCACCCACTTCTCCCAGGCACACACCAGCCAGGATGGAGCCGAGGAGGCGAATTGCCAGGTGCAGTTACAAATCCAGCATTAAGGAACACCCAAAAGCTGAGCGACGTGTGATGAGCCAGCAGCCACATGGACTGACGAACCAACCAGCAACAAAACCCCAGACCCACAGAAGCCAGGGACGTACCTGATCAGCTTTTTCAAATGTATGTGACTGAGAGTGTTTCAGGCAGGGAGGGTGGAGAAATCCTTCCTATTGCTAAATCTGGAAGCAACGTGAGAAGCTCAGGTTAGAGATGAGAACAATCACAAGCAGCAACAGTTTTTGGTACAGTGGTTTCCATCCAGACCAGATCTAGGGGGTGTCATTGCTCTGAAATCTGCATTAATCTTTCTCAACACGTTACTGCGGAAAACCAGGCCTACAGGGTTAAGCTGTCATTGCTCTTCACCTGCTCATGGCATGTCAGCGCTGTGAGGGCGGAGCACGCTGGGCACAGCACTATGGACCCTGGTGCTGCGAGGAGCCAGTGTTAGTTCCGTGGCCAGGAGGATGATGCTGCCTTACTTCAGCCGCCATCTTCAGCTCCTTTGGTGTAGAAAGCCTTGACACCGTACTTACCGGGTCTGGCACTGGCGAGAAGTTTGTTTTCGTGGACATAAACTGGACACTCAACAGTTTGTATCTTTACTGAATGAATTTATTGGTTTTTGAACTAAAGTTGCTCACAGTTATTTAACAAGGGATACATCAGATTTTTTTGTCCATTTTAAACCATTAAATAATGTCAGTTTGTGTCTGTATATGTGTGTGTGCGCGCGTGTGTCTTCAAAGTACAAAATAGGAAGGATAACAAGAGGTATTGCTTTCATTTATTCTTATATCTTGTGTAAGTAATCCCCTTCCTGCTTGTACCACATGAGTTTTGATGATATAGGTATTTTTAAATTATTATTATTATCTTGTATTGAAATCCCAGCCTTTTGTAGAGGTACAATGTAACAGAAGCATCAAAATCTATACACAAGGGAAGAGAAAAGAGGGAAAAGAAGGACGGGGGTGATGGGAGGGGAGCTTGGAGGAGAAGTAGAGAGAGGGCAGAGGCAGGAAAGACAACGAAAGCAAAAGAGACTAATTTACAGCAATGTCATGCAATTAAAACTGCCCCCCTCTCCTGCACCCTTGCCTCCCCCCCTCCCCAGCCATCATCCCCTGGTGTCTGACATGCACACAGCAATACGAGAGAGAAAAGTTTAAGAATAGGGAAAATAAATAAATAAATAAAGCAAAAAAATTAAAATAAATCCCTCCCATTTGGGGGAATGGGGAAACGGGGCAGAAGTCAAAGGTCTTTGCCCCAGTTGTGTCTTTAAAAATTCTTTTTAATCTTCAAACCTATGTACAAGTAAAACTGGTCCAAGAAGGGGAAAAATGATTAAAAAAACCAACAACGACAACAACAACAAAAAAGAACTCATCCAACATTATCATTAAAAAAAATAATCTTGCGATACAACATACACCCATAGGAACCCAACGAGCAGCAATCGAAGGTCATAAAAGAGCTGAACACTAATGCTAAGCCTACATTCTTAAAATCTCAGTCAAGAAGTACTTCTCACTGTGTTTTGTCTTCCACGCGTAAAACCACGTTTTTTTTGTTTGTTTAACCTTTGAGCTTGGGCCAGAATAAGTTACACTTGGTCACATAAATCTTGAGGAGGAGGAAAAAAGGCAGCAATTCTTCTTTCTCAAAGTCACAAAATGAACACTTACAGGGTTTCTGTGTCTTTTTTCCCCCTCCTCCCCAAAATAAATAAGAATCAATGTTGCCTCTACACAGTTATTAAACAGAAGATATATCTAACAGCTTATTTTTTTAAATATATATATATGTATATATAAATAACCAAGACCTAATAACCGAAACACAAAAAAAAGGTCCCCATCCACCCAATCCCACCCTCCTCCCCTTCCAAAAAAAAACAAAACCAAACCAAAAACTTTATAAAAATATCTTGCAGTAAATTTTAAAGTTTACAGTAGCTTCGTGATTAAGTCTCCCATTGCCCTGACTCCACCTTGTCTTGCTCTGATGAACTAAGTGCCAGTGATTTTGCACACACACACACACAGGAAAGAAAACCCAATATAAGTCTCTTTTCTTCCTCCTCTTCATCTTCTTTTTTTTTTCTTTTTTTTTTTCCTTTTTTCCTTTTTTTTTTAAGAAAAAAATCACCCAAGCCAACAAATGAAACTGGTAACTTAAAGAAATAATAATACTGATATCAATGCAGCACTAGCAACACAACAATTGCCTCTAAATGCAGGGTGTGGTGGAGGATCCAGCTGGTCGAAGAAGGTCCCAGCAAGGTGGCACAGTGGCAGGGAGTTGACAGGTGGGGAGGAAGGTGTCGAAGGAGGAGCAGCAGTAGCAGCAGCGGCAACTGTGCCTGGTGACGGGAGAGACAGTCCTTGGCAGAGTCTTGTCCCTCTTCTTTGCTACCAGAAGTTGCCTTTTCCCTAAGTTTTAATGTTTTGTTTGTATTTGTTTATTCATTGAACCCCCTCTCCCTCCTAAGTTTACTCCTTTCCCCTTCCAGCAGGTTAAAAACCAAAATGATACAGTATAAAAAAATCAATTATTTCGTATATATATATGTATGTATGTATGTATATATAAATATACACACATATATACATGTATATATAAAAAAAGGGGGCAAAAGAAAAGGAAAAGGTGGTGGGGAGAAAAAAAAAAAGGTAAGAAAATCCCATGATGAAGCTCCCCAATATTGTCTTGGTTCAACGCTTAGTTTTGAGTTGCTCCTGGCTGGTTTCTGATGAGAACGCGCTCTGGATTCATGGAACACTGCGCTCCCGCTACACCCGTCTCCTTCCCCACACCCTCCCGCTCCGGGCTGCGTTCACCTGCGCGGACAGAAGTTGCCAAGGGTAAAGATTTCACTCCAGCAATTTGCAATCTCCATTGAGCCCAGACTCTGCAATCCCACAACTGAGCAGGTCTCTCTCGTGGAGCACCAAAAAAGAAAAAGAGAGGGGGAAAAAAAAACCAGGCGTGCACTGGGGAGGTGTTTGGGGAGAAGTGGGGGAGAAGCCCACTTCCTGAAGGGAGAGGGGAGGCTGGGAACCTCAAACAGGACTGGTCCTTGGACAGTCTACATCGGTTGCCTTCCGTCAACAAGTGTCCGCAGAGCACAGAAGGTGAAGCCGTGGCTGACATGTTAACTTTTCGGGATAATTCCTGGTAGCAGAGCGGAAACAAGTGGTGTCGTCAGAAACACAGAGAGAGCATGAACAGAACAAGAAACAAAACAAAAGAAAACGAAAAAAAATAATAAAAAACCCAAAAAATCAGGAAGGAGAAAAAAAGCAAAACATTCAAAAAAAGGGAGGAAAAAAAAACAATCGAAAAAAACCACAACCCAAGATCTGGTGAACTGGGTTTGTCATCTGTGCTACCTTTTCTTTTCTTTCTTTTCTTTTCATTCTTTCATTCGTTTGTTTTTGTGTTTGTTTCTGAGATATATATTATATATCATATATAAATATATATATGTATATATATACAGTCATTCCTTCATACAAAATTTGTCTATAGACAGTTTTGTACTGTTGTGGCAAGGTATATACATCCTTCTAGTTTAGAGGCTAGCTTGCTAAGGAATATTCTTTCATTCTTTCTTGCTTTTTTCTTTTTGTTTTGTTTTGTTTTTGTTTTTGTTTTTTTTTTTTCCTAAGTTATTTAATTTTTTATGTGTTTATTTAAGGTTGGTCTTGTAGGCCGACTGATGAGACCATCTTTGCCTTGTCTTTGCCAGCAGGGTACTTATTGTCTCCTCTAGACCCATAGTCATTAGAACCGGAATCGCTCCGCTTGCTGTTTGCGCTATGCTTGGTTGGCGTGCCGGGGGGATGGCTCACCTGCCCGTTCTTCTCGTCTGAAAAAAGTTGTTTAATTACGTCAAAGAAGTTACTCAATGGGCTGCCTGGGTACACAAAACAGAGGAGACAAAAAAAGAAAGAAAGAAAGAAAGAAAGAAGGAAAAAAAAAAAACGAGAGGGAAAGAGAGAGAAAAAGAGGAGAGAAAGAGAGAGAACAAACAAACAAATGAACAATGGGGTTTTTAACGAGAAGAACATGATGAGGAGATCCAGAGCCACGTGCGTGGGGGTGTGTGGGGGATGAAGACAATGAGCAGGAAGAGGAAGAGTGTTTAGGATGGGATACCTACAGAAATAAAGAGGCTGGGAGCATAAAGCACCTAAGGGAAAGGTCCTAGTTTTTTCCTGAGTGGGGAAGCATTGCTGTCTCACCTAGCAGGAGGACACAGTACCGTGTGACTGAAATAGTTCAGTCCATTACTTGGAGTCACTTGGCCATTTCACATGGAAATATCCATGAATATGATGCTGGATACAGGCAAATCCCATCTTACTGCTGCTGTTACAAACACAGGGTATTTGCACGTGCCCACCAAGCGATGCTTTGCTTTGCAGCCTTGCTAAGCTCTCTGGCTACACCAGCCATTAGGTTTTCCTTGCTTGAATTTTATTTTCTTCTGAGTATCTCCTTGCCAGCCTGCCATCTAAGCCTGAAGCACCTGAGTGGTCCAAGGGAAACAGCATTTGAAAAATGAGCTATGGCTGAGATGAGTGTTGCCATCTGCATGAGTGGTCTGTGGTTTGTAATCACAGGCTTCTAAGCACCTTCAGATCTCCCTACAAAGGTACCTGGAAATGAAGATGCTGAATGCATTATGAAAGCATGCATCTATTTCTGGGACCTAGCAGAGTCAATAACTATTACCTCATTGTCCTGAATTTCTGTTCTCTCTACAACACAGCCTCCATGGCACTGACATGCACTCCAGTGGAGTTAGGAGCCAGAGAGGGGTTTAGGGTTGTGGGCTAAGTAAAACAGGCATCTCCTTAAGCCAGCCTCTAGATCAGGTTGCAGTATTAACAAGGGTTGGGCACTGTGCAAATGAATACAACCTTTCATACCATTTGGACCTCCAGGCAACAGGGTTATGTGCTGTTAATTTAGTTCTGTGTCAGAGGATGTGTGGAATGCCACAACTGAGGAAAAGCTTTGGGGTGCTACTGAGGGAAAAGGGACCACCTACTACTGGAAAGGTAGCCTTTCAGGGAATTTCTAGTCCATTTTAATTTTCTTGAGTTGGGGGATTAATCCTTATCAAACATAGGAATGCTCACACTAAACTCTTCAAACATGGATATTGAAGGTGTTTTTTAACCTAATGTACACCATGGAGGTTCTGTCTCTTCGTGATCCTTAAAATCCCATGATGGTTTTCTCAATATTGTGACTGTTGGCTCTACTGTTCAGTCAAATTCAAATCATTTACATCTCCAGCTCCTGCAGGGAAATAGGCTTCTCGTATCTGCTTTCCAAGGTGGTGGCATGCTGTGAAGAGTGGAATCTTTCGTCCCCTGCAATGGGAACATTCAGTCAGGAGCAAAGGGCTTCTTCATAGCAGAGACTGCCATGTATCCATAGTTGGTGGACAGTGGTGGTTTGGTAATATTGTATTGCCCTTCACTCTCATTATAAACATAAGTAATCCATTAACAACAGCAGGTAAGTACTTTCTGTGCATGGTAATTGGTCTGAAGACCTCGCTGAATGCTTTCTGATTCTCTAATGGAAAATGCTAGACAGACATCAACTGCTCTTTGACAAAGAAAGAGGAAATACATAGTATTTGTGCTCTGCAAAACTGAAAGGGTTACTCTTTTTTTCCTGCTCTGTGCTAACCAGGTAGTTGCTGCTTTCCTCTGTATGTTAACAGGCATTGAGAAAAATCAAATGGCTGGTATATTCAGTGAAGGATCTTAATCTTATTAATCTAATTCATCCCTTGCCTTCTTCTACTTGCTGCTTTGTGTCCAACTTTCTGCTTGCCCTGGTTCTGTCTGTCATTCAGCTACACCAGTGTCACAAGCTGTGAGTTTCTGAAAGGGCATCATTCACCCAACTGAGTGAAGCCTTAGTGATGGGCGCAAACAAACTGCCAGGCACAGCACATAACTCAATTTCTGGCTAAGAGGAGAAGGGCTATCAAACTCTCAGTCACCCTGGGGTCAGACCTCCATGACCTCCACCTCCTTCTGTCCACATGCATACAAATGCTTTGGAAAGGGGATATCTGTTCCACATCTATAACTTCTGTTTCAGAGGTTTCCCTAGCCTCCCTAAAACTGTTATAGGTTAGTGGGCTTTTGCTCTGCGCAGACTCACTTCTATCTCCTCAGATTAATTTCTACTTCTTTTAGGTGGATACCATTTTTCAATTAAAAGAAAAAAAAGAAAGCAAACACTCAGCCTTGAATGCAGGAATGTGGGCAGATCTGGTCTTTAAGTGGCTTTGGACCCCTCATCCTCATAAGCAAATGGAGTCAGCAGAGAGAATGAAAAAGAGCACTGAAAAAAATGCTGGAGAGGAAAAGACTGCTAGGTTGGGAGAAAAGAGTAGGGCAATATCTAGTTATTCATCTGAGCAGTTTATTCAACATGCTTAGAGGGAAAGATGAGGGCAGAGTAAGCAGGGCTCTGCAGGAATTGGGGAAGTCTTTTGTTTTCATGTAGACAGGAACAGTGACAAAGTACAACTAGCAAGAATGGAGCAATGAAACACTTTAGAAATTATATATCTTGTATTTGCTGAGTCCTGATACAGGATTTTCAGTCATCCTACTAAAATATGCAGCCCCTGTTTCATACACCCTTTCTCCTTCCCAGCTTTCAAGTGTCTGGAGATTTACTGCAGCAAAAGTATTTAACAGTCTGCTTTTCTCTGCCTCTATCACTACTGAATTCCTTACAATCAGCATTTTCAGTTAAAACTTTAATGGGAGGTAAGAAATCCTTAGGGATGTTTAAAGAGAGCTACTGAAAAATAAAATAGGCCATTTCACTAACCCTTTCTTTCCTTTGCCCTTTGTACTTGTAATTAAATAGTAGGTTATAATGCTCTCTCTGGCAGTCAAGAAAGAACTGATCCTACACCAAGCAATACAGACAATCACTGCATTGATGTCTATGTGACAGGTTATTAGCCTGCTCTTGGGCTAGTCAACACAAGGAGTCCTCACATTCTTCTCTGGAGATGTATAAGTAGGGGACAGCTATCCTGTCCCTTTGGGGTTATACATCCAGTAAAACAAGACTTGAAAACGCAGGTGATGATGGATTAGAATAGCTTTTTCAGCAATCTTCCACTCCTAAGATTCAGTGCAAAATGTGTCATAGGCCCCTACACCAGTAAGTCCATCTAGGGCCTCAAAAAGGCTGCCTTTCTCATTTCAGAAAGTGAGATGACATCCCATTTCCTCTGGACAGGGATGGAGGTTTGGCTCACTGATTCTTTAGAACATCCCTGGTGTTTCATGCATCTGTAACTAAGGTCTTCTTTCCCCTTGAGAGCAAATGTTCATCAACACAGAGCAAAGAAGGCGTGAAGGGTAGCAAGGGTGAGAAACCATGAGAAGGATCAGAGGCAGGAGGGGAGGTTCAGAGCATTAGGTTCATGTCTATTAGGAGGAGATGGATATGCGCATTTTTGAGTTAGACCACGGAGCTGTACACTGCAAGATGGAGAAGGCGGATGGGTTTGAAAACAAGCACTGAAGCTTATGAAAAGGTCATGTATTGAAGGGAATATATTTAGAGAAATATATTTATGGAGAAGGCACTGGTTTGTGGCATCTGTGTGCAGCACTGTAACAGCCAAGTATCATGAAAGAAGTCAAAACTGTGAATGCAATTGAATACAATAAGCGCTAAAAGGAAGAAACAGAGCTAGAGACAGACACAAAAATGTAAAAGGAAGCTGGGCAAGTGTTTTGTATCAACCTTCACAGTCCTCAGTATTTCATTTGCTATTCTTAGGAAGTCTGTCTGACATTGACCTAGCCCCAATGGTGTCACCGGCTTGAGAAGCCAAGTAGAAGCAGAACACCCAGGTAAGAGAGGAAAGAGAAAATGAGGCAAATCATCAGGCACCAGAAGTGACACCAGAAAAGGATGCACCTTGCAAAGACCCTGCTCTGGCCTTATAAAGATCCTCAGTCCTCCACAGAATATAACAGGACATGGTGAACAAGCAGCTTCAGGACAAGCCTGGAGGCTTCAGTTACTGATTAGAGCCCCAGTTACTGATTAGAGCCTGCTGTTTTGTAACATTTTAAGACAGTCAGATAAGGGCTTGGTCCTGTTTTTGTTGAAGCAAATAGCAACATTCCCACTGACTTAACGGAAGCAAACCCTGAGGCACTTCCCTCTCCTGTGAAACCATCACTCTCAACTCTATGTATTTTTAATGCACTAATCCTTGTGGTGATGAACACAAAGTTGCACAAAACAAATATGCCATCTGTGGGATTATCCTCTGCCTTTCCTTTCTGTATAGCCTGAGAAATTTTGGGGTTTTGCATATTTAGTTTGGGCTTTGGGAGAAAGTAAATCAGAAAACATAGGTCTCCACTGGAAATGGAGATGCCTTTTGTAAACCTGACCTCCCTTATTCCGTCCCTTGTTGCTTTCACATCCTTCCTGTCTTCTGCCTGCCTCTGCTTCTGAGATTTTCTTCCTATACTCATTCCTCACTCTTTATCCCTTGTCTTTTCATCCCTAGGTTGCTCTGTGTTTTGATAGCAGCTGTAGTGAATCACATAAAAAAAATTTTACTCCTTTCCTTTCACATAAAGCATTAAAACATTCTCTTAATGGGTGATAATCCATTCCCTTTCAAACCCATTTTGCTGGCAGAGTACTAGCCCTCTTTGTTAAGACTAGACATTTTTTTCCTTTTTGCTTGGTTTCTGTTGACAGAGTCCCTTCTGCCTTCAAAAACAAATGACTTAAAATATAGAACCCACTCCAAAAGTATAAGCAGTGAAAGGGATGACAGAAAGATAAAGTGGCCCGTTCCTCTTTGTTTAGTTGTAGTATTGTGTAGGAGTC